TTATATCGCCCTTTTCTCCCCTTCTTCTTCTTTTTTTTTTTTGTTACTCTCTTGTAATACCACTAATCTTCTGGCGCTCATATTACCGTATACAGCTGTGAGCGCCGTAAAACCTCTACTAAAACTTTTTTTTTTATGGGAAGTGTAAGAACAGTAAGTTCAAGCAGAATACGAGTCGTCATTTTGTGTCAACATTCGATATCGGATTCTAACCATGTACGTACGTCGTACGTGAACACTGATTTTCAGTTTAGTTTTTAGTTTTAGTAAGAGTTTTACGGCACTTGCAACACAATGAGGTCATATAAGTGCCGAAGATTAGATTTTCAGAAAAGTGGAAAAAAAACATCCCAGAAATTTCTTTTTTTTTTTAATTGTTTACCAGAATTACTTCAACTTCTATTACATATTTTAGTATGGCCACGACTTGAAACTACGATTGTGATGAACATTCCAAAGAAAAGAAGTGTTGACCTAATTTTGCTTATTAAACGCGCTCCTAATCGGACTTACCACTTAAGGCCACGGCTTGAAATGAATCATTTTGCCCTCTTAAATTACCTCACGCGAAAGCTCTTTAAGTGATTAGACCAACCATAATTACTGAGGTACCTCATGTGTGGCTTGATTTTGAACCCCCTCTTCTGTCTGGCTGTCTGTCTGTCTGTCTCTTCCTCTCTCTCTCTCTCTCTCTCTCTCTCTCTCTCTCTCTCTCTCTCTCTCTCTCTCTCTGTCTCTGTCTCTCTCTCTGCCTCTCTCTCTGTCTTTCTCTCTCTCTCTCTCTCTCTCTCTCTCTCTCTCTTTCTCTCTCTCTCCCTCTCTCTTCTCTCTCTCTCTCTTTTTCTCTTTCTCCCCCCCTCTCTCTCTCTCTCTCTCTCTCTCTCTCTCTCTCTCTCTCTTTCTCTCTCTTTCTTTCTTTCTCTTTCTCCCTCTCTCTCTCTCTTTCTCTCTCTTTCTTTCTTTCTCTTTCTCCCTCTCTCTCTCTCTCTCTTTCTCTCTCTTTCTTTCTTTCTCTTTCTCCCTCTCTCTCTCTCTCTCGCGCGCGCCTTTTCCCCTCTCTGGCTCCCTCTCTTTTCCTCTCTCTCTTTTTTATACACATTCTCTCTCTCTGTCTCTCTCTCCCTCCCTCCCTCCCTCTCTCCCTGCCTCCCTCCCTCCCTCCCTCCCTCTCTCTCTCTCTGCCTCTCTCTCCCTCTCTCCCTCCCTCTCTCTCTCTCGCTCGCTCGCTCTCGCTCTCGCTTTCTCTCTCTCTCTCCGTCTCTCCCTTTCTATCTTGCTCTCCCTTTCCCGCGCGCATATGGTTGTATCAATCAAAGTAAATAACAAACAAACAAAAAAAAGCCCAAGAGATTATTTGTGAATATCTATAAAGAATTATTGCACACCAGAAATTTTCTTGACAAAGAAAGAGACGTAAACAATCAGGCACCCTTCCTTCGGGCTTGTAAAGAATAGAAAGTGGGTGGTTGGAGGGCGCCACTGGTAGGTTTTACTTCTTTACATGCCCTGTGTTGTTTCTGTCTGTCCGTCTTACTTTTCCCCAGCACTAAATGACCATTATTGTGTCGATGTTTTTCTCTATACTCAAACTAGAAAGAATAGAAAGACTAGAGACCACGATGTCAACAGGTTAATATAAACAGAAACACAACTTTATAGAATCTCTTCAGAAAGTTTCTTTGAGACAGAAAGGAAAAGAGAGAATGTTTTGGTTACAGTGTAAGGGAGACAGGCGTTTGTGTTCACAATACAAAATTGTGAAGCGCGTTGATAAAATGAGTTACTTCTCGGATTCAGGCCTTAAGGAAATAGATACATCACGCTTACAGGTGAAGTTTTTTACAATTTATAAGTATGAAATAAAAGGTATGGCAGGGGCGAAGCGTCTATATAATCAAATAATCACTGCTTCCCTTCCTAATTTTGAAACATTGTCGCTGTCAAATTCGTCCTTAAACGTAAACCTCTTAAATTAAAAGTAAAAAGAGGTTCGTAATCCACAATGAGCATGCCTAACATTCAAAACGGTTTCACGGCCACATAAATAGCCTCCTCACCCCTCTCGGGCCACTCCATAATCAGTCGCAAGCTTTGATTAAGTAAGCTTAAAGTGAGGCTGAAAGAGTCTACCAATACAGTTGAGGGAACATGTGCATAGCAGTCATGGCTGTTTCATTGGCACATATACCCTGTTCACCCCTTTGGGGCCACAGTTAAAATCAATCACAAGCCCTGATTAAGTAAGCTAACGAACACTGGTCGAGTCTACCTCACAAATGTGAGGGGAACTAACTCCTAACAATCTCTTTACTGCTGCATGTGCTTGTTTTTTTTTCCTCGACTTTTTACTGTCCTATAATCAGATCGTGACCTCGATTATGACACCAGCTCCTGGCCGCGAAAGGCTAACAAAAACAGCCAAATGTGAAATTTAAAATGATAATTGTCATGTTCTACCAAAGAGTTAGACTCTCTGGTAGATCTATAACATATAGATTTAGTACTGACATCTATGCTTCTTTGCTTTGTGTTTATGTATTCACATCTAAAGTTAATTTAATTTTAGTTGGAACTGATCAATATGAATTCCGGATTTGTTTTCATTTACAACTCAGTCAGAGTCGCCGCCTCGAGTAAGATTCTTATGTGATATCTACAGGCCATATAGATCTATATCTGGTCCCGTTTCACTTTGATTACCCCGTCAAACAAGTCAGCCTTCGCCCCTGAGGTATGGTATACTTAAAGAATATGGCATCAATAGAAAATCTACAAATTTGATCCTTATGTAAATTTTTGGCCAATATCTCCATTTGTGGACTGCGAGAAGTAACTTATTTTGTCAGAACGCCTCAAAATTATTACTCCTCGTAAGACATTCCACAGTATAAACAAAACAATCCTGTTTTCCACCAGCTGTTTAAATACTATTCCCAAACAGCAAGATTTTCCAGGAGATATAAAAAAAAATTGGGTTATTCTTGTAATAGATGTAACTTTTCTTCCTTTTTTTTCCAACATTAAAGGGGAGGGGGGGGGGGGGGGCTATACCTGGAGGGAGGCTATCTCGCTTATTACTGGACCGAATTTTACCATATTTCACACATACAACAAGCATAGCTAGGAGTCTTAAAATCCGCAATCAAATGTGAGAAAAAAGTTTCGTTTCCATGGATACGCCACCATATTGGATTTTATTGACATGTCTTACGTAATGAATACCGCACTTATCGCTCATGGAAATTGATTGGTTTTTTGCATGCATGTTTACAAACATTAGATCTAAAAATTTGTTTGTTGTTTTTTTGCTAATCGAATTAGAAAATTTTTAATGAATTTTTTCCTGAGGTAGCATTCAAGTTTGCGAAAAATCCGTGAAAATCCACACTCCAGACACCACCAACAAAAATTTATTCCATATATCACAAGTTCAACAGACGCATTTTTAGTATTACCTCTTCTCTTCATTCTGTTAACATTTCATGAAGATTGGATGAAAAATGGTGGAGTTATTCAAAAAAGTATAGAGAAAAGTCGCATTTTGAGAAAACGACCGATTAAAAAAACAAAAAAACTGACTTTATGAGGAGATGGCGGTTACAAGCATGCCCGGTATGGGAAAAAATACGGTTTTGGGGGGTTCTTATGCCATGAAATAGTTGTGGGAGAGGCTGAGGAAGCTAAGAATGCCTACAACTTAAATTCCATGATTTTGAGCCGAATTTGATTTTGGGGGTGTAGTCCCCCCCCTTCCACCCCCCTTTAAGAATTTAGATTTCGACCAAATATTTCTTGGGCGTAGGCAACGGATACCAAAGATTAAGAACCTGTAGTTTCTCTTTTTTATCGAAATTTTGGGCTTTATATATTTTAA